CAATTAATACCATATAGAAGGAAATTTTGGAGGTACATGTACATAGCTAAACTTGGCCATTTCCCAAAATAAAAATTTGCTATTTTGAGTGCATGCTCAATGGCACATGGCCACAAATTCGCCAAATTAATATTCGCAAATCACCAAAATTTAGCCATTCGACAAATTTAACTTCCTCCAAAATTTCCTTCTATACGGTACATGACATTGATGAGTGTGTACATGTATATGTACAGTTATGTACCTGTGGGGCACCAACTTTGACGTTTGGTATAAAAGAATAAATTAACCTATTAATAATAATAATAATATTAATATTAATATTAATTAAAATACATGGAAGTTAATCTACCTATCTCTAAACTGAGAAGGCTCCACGTCAAAGTACGGTCTCAGTACATCAATATGAGCATAGGTATTGATGAACCTCTGGGTTGACTGCTTACCAGCCTGCCACAACTAGGAGGAAATAAATAAATAAATAAATAAATACAATGAATAATGTGGAGTGACCAGTGTGTGTGTGTCTGGAGGTGAGTATCAGTAATGTAATACCTGAGACACTTGATATCTGCCCTCAGCTTCACTTCAAGCAGATATCTCAGTCCTCAGGTATTACATTACTTATACACACACACACCTCCATCATGTTAATTTCAACAAAATTGTGTCACACGTATAAAACTACACAGTCCTCGCCCACGCTAATCGCTGGCGAGGCCAAAAGATCAAGAATTAGACTCAAAGTGATACACCAAAAGAAAATTTCCAACAAACCCAAACCAGGACATTACTCTGGTTTGTTATTACAAGTACATGCTAATGAATACAATTAAAGACAACCCACGATAGCCTTTACAAAAAACTACACTATATAAGCACTGCCTGACACCGATTGGGTCATGTCTAGTACTGCTCGTGACAGCAATAGGTTCCGTAAAAACGGAAATTTTTAGAGGGCGGACATTAAGAGTATTACTGACTCTTGATGGAAGCCCAGCAGTGTTTATTAATTATTGACAATATATTCAGTTTTGATTTATTGCTAAGAACTTGGTGTTGAAATTTTGTAAAATAAAAAAAAACAAATTACAACTTGCCAATTATGTGGTAAAGGTAATACAATTATTTAATTAAATTTAGCCAAAATCAGAATCAGCACTCCCACTCATGGCCTTTACATGATAAAGGTCTCTAACTTTATGATGATGAGCATGATTCAAATTACAAACAATATTTTCAAACATTTTAAAATCATTTAATGTTAATATACACACTTCCTTACATGTCCTGCCATTTCTTTACTCAGTTGTGATCTTAAGTCATCAGTCAACAACCCATCACCTCCTCCTCCTCTACTGGAGGTAGAGAAAGAAATATGACATAATGAAGTACATGAACAGTATTATAACTGATAGTCACACAGCATAATATGATGTGGATACTAATGGAGTGAGTACTAGTTACAATACTAAATACCTATAAACGCTAGTGCTTCAACCCACAATACAAAAGCTACATACACAATATAGCTATAATAGTACCGATATGAATTAAACTATAAACTCTTAATTGTATTACCTCTCATTAGTTGATTCAGGACTGATGTTAGTCTCCAAAGGAGGAATTACATTAGTACCACTGGCTTGCTCCTGCAATTGAAAAAATTAATAAATACAGAAATATTATATTTATTACCTGGCCCTCTCCTATATCTATATACCAATCCTGCTCTGCCTTTTCAGGACCTTTAGAATCCTGTTCCTCCTCAAGATCCGCCATGTTTATTAGACCACGCCTCTTAAGCGTAGGAGAATACGTCATATTACGTTTGCCAGAAAAGAGGGCGTAGCTGCTAGGGTCAAAATGGCGTCCGGTGGTGAGGGCAGAAACGTGTTGCAGTTCCTTCCTTTCAGCAGTAGCCTTGACCCGGGATTCTGGCACGAATTAGGGAAGAGGAAACTTGAAGAGTATCAGCTAAGAGAA